TATATATATATTCTTAATTTTATTATTTGAATGGTCTCACTCTTTTTTTTTTTTTGTGTTTCTTGTTTTCTTGTTCTTAATATATGTATGTATCCTTTAAAATCTTAAAGAGGTGGACCTACCAGTTACACCTAGATCTTTCACTATAGTTACTTCAACTGTATTTCTCGATACTATTAGTATCTTCCTTTGTATTTTCACCAAATCAACAACCTCCAATATATATTGATGGTCTCATGGTGGTCACATACTATCTACCCCTTACTAACCATATGTCAATCCTATAATAAATCTATATCAACCTAGGATGTGAATCTATTAGTATAAGTAAGAAGGAAAGTTTGTATTAAAATAAGACTTTGTCCTTCATCTAGATATCATATCAGTTATATATAATTTTGATGTACCAAAATCACTTTTTGTGTGAATATATTTAACTATGGTGTGGTTTCTTTACCTAGTAATATTTTAAAATATAAATTATAAATAAAAAGAATTTTATAATAAAATTTGTATAACAATTTCAAATTCTGTAATAAGGAATAAAAATATTGTTTAACAAATAACTTGTTATATATTAACTATTTTTTGAAAAAAAAATATTATTTTAGAAAAATGAATCCTATAACTAAGATAATTAATTTGGTTGATTTATGAAATAAATATTAAATAATTAAGTTGAGAATTATGAGTAAGGTGTTACAATAACCTTTTACTACTGATATAAATTCACAATATCCATATATATTATCAATTTAATTTTCGTCGGATATGTTCTATCAACAAAGCTAGCTAACTTCATATATATATATATATATATATATATATAATATGATTATTATTGTTTTGAATTTTTGAAGTATAATGATAGATTTTGTTGAGAAAGACGAAATTCATTTAGGTAAACTCTACTCCTTGAATGGATAATTGGTCGTTGAGCATCGATGGGAGAACATTGCAAACCAAAAAATATATATAAATATATGCCTTGATTTTTTAGAAGTGATCGATATGTATTGACTTGGTAATATATATCAGTTGATTAAGAATTGCAATACGAATACAGTGGGGTTGTTTACATTAGCATGGCACCTTCCTTCATCAAGTGGCTCTTAACTAAACATGATCTATATCATAAAGTCATCATTTAAAATATATAAAACACTTGTATCGATTGGGTTAACGTGCCTAACAAGAATTTGTCATTAATTCCTCTATCTCGTACAATTTGTCTCTATAAATAAAGGCAAGTAATGTGGTGAGTCTCGCAACATTTGGACACAAAAAAATGAGGTGTCTTGGTCTTGTAGCAATAGCTTTAAGCTGTGTGGTGGCTGTGCTTGGAGGGTTACCCTTCTCAAATGCACAACTAGATCCCTACTTTTACTGGAACACTTGTCCCAAACTGCATTCTATCGTATTTAAAGTCGTAAAGAAAGTTTCTAAAACGGATCCCCGTTTGCCTGCCAGTCTCGTTAGGCTTCACTTTCATGACTGCTTTGTTCAAGTATGTATACTTCAATTACTTCTCTTTCTATCTCATTTTTAAGTCAATTCTTTCCTCATTTAGATGCCAAAAGAAACCCATAATTAAAATCAAAATAAAAATCCCTTGTTCCAAAAACACTTTAGTTTATATCAAAATGGTTTAATAGTCTCACAAATAACCTAATTATTTTTATCCCTTAGGTACTATTTTCCCATTTAAATCATCTAATAAATTATGTTGAGTTTAATTTTCACGTATTTATATTATTAACTAATTAGAAATTATTTTATGTGTGACAACTTTTAAAGGATTATTGTAAAGTGAACAAATGTATTATACAAGATTATATATAATTAGACAACGCTAAAAACTAGCTATCGCTATTCGCTGCATTAAAAATTATAGAAACTTAATGTTATTGTACTCTTGGTATTGTTATTGAGAAACTTTTCTCTCTCCTAATGTGTTAAAACTGATTCAACTATTAGCTTAAAAAACAATGGTACCAAATGTCTTATAATTTCTCTAAGATACCATAACAAGTTAGAATAGAAACTCTAGAAATTAAATTCATTATTCATGCATATATTTTGTGTTAGATAATTAAATAATGCATGAAGGCCACAAAAGTGAGCTAGCACCTTGTTTGTCTCAACAAAAGCAAAAGTAAGCGGTTTGGAATGAGGAAAACTTCTACTGGGAACTAATAACATGTTAAAGAGAAATTGATTCTTGTATACTTAAGTCATATATATGTGGTTGTTGAGAAGTAACAAGAAATAAGTTGATTATATATGTTGCTGATGCTTGTGGCATATCCAGGGTTGTGACGGGTCGATTTTGTTGAACAACACTGCGACGATAGTGAGTGAGCAACAAGCTTTGCCAAACAATAACTCAATAAGAGGTTTGGATGTTGTGAACGATATCAAGACAGCAGTGGAAAAAGCTTGTCCTGGCGTAGTATCTTGCGCTGATATTCTTGCTCTTGCAGCTGAAGTATCTTCTGTTCTGGTACGTCTCATCTTATTATATAATAGAATTTTCATTTTTAGCTTAAAGAATATACTAATCAAATTCTTTATGACATCATCCATATTATCTCAATCTTAAATCTCTCCTAATGATTTTAATTAAATGGTAATTAGGAACTTAGTGGTACCTACTTCACGCGATGCTGGTTCATAGTTACAAGTTTTCAACCCTGTTTAAGATTTTTTTTTTTTTTGGGCTAGCATTGCTTTTGTTTTATCCCTCTTATATAGAAGTAGCATGATTTAATATTGACAGGCTAATGGTCCCTGCTGGAAAGTTCCCTTGGGAAGAAGGGATAGTTTAACAGCAAACAGAACCCTTGCCAATCAAAATCTTCCAGCTCCATTCTTCAACCTCACTCAGCTTAAAGCAGCCTTTGCTGCTCAAGGTCTCAACACTACTGATCTAGTTGCACTCTCAGGTAACAGATGTTCCCAAATTCAAATTATCCTATGTGTTGCAACAGCAATAATATTAATAAATGGAAAATTCTTGAAATTCAGGGTAAGGTAGATACTAGTGAATTTCACCTATAAGAGTTTCATTCTAAAATCACCATCTTAACTTAATTTGACTTTGGAAGAATTTGTTATAAAAAGAATGGCACGTGATGGATTAGTAATTAGTACAAGATTTCATTCAATTTCAGGTGCTCATACATTTGGCAGAGCTCAATGCACTGCATTTGTTAGCCGATTGTACAATTTCAGTGGTACTGGCAAACCCGATCCAACTCTTGACACAACTTACTTACAACAATTGCGAAAAATATGCCCCAATGGTGGACCTGGGACCACCCTAGCCAATCTTGACCCAACCACTCCTGATACATTGGACAAGAACTACTATTCCAACCTTCAGGTTAAGAAGGGCTTGCTTCAGAGTGACCAAGAGCTATTTTCCACAGCCGGTGCTGATACCATCAGCATTGTCAACAAGTTCAGCAGTGACCAAGATGCTTTCTTTAAGAGCTTTGCGACTTCAATAATTAAAATGGGTAAAATTGGTGTGCTAACTGGGAACAAAGGAGAAATCAGAAAACAATGTAATTTTGTTAACAAGAAATCTGTTGAACTTGATATTGCTACTGTGGCCTCCCAAGAATCATCAGAGGAGGGTAAGGTTAGCTCAATATAAATGAATTAGGACGAGTTATATATATACATTGGAAATTATGTGATTGAAGGTTACTAATAAAGAAGCTATAGGCACATTGTTCATACCATGTGCCCACTGCAAGCTATTATTGTGGACGTGTGAGATCTTTGTATTGTATTTTGAATCATAGTGTTTTGTAAATTGTAATCAATTTCTCTCTTTCTATCTCTTACTCTTGCTCTGTTTGTTTCCTCTTTCATTTTTTAAATTCAAATCTTTGAATAGATGTAGATGTTGGTGATAACTTGTAAAAATTTCCAAGTGTTGGGATGACATGATGAATGAATTTGATTCATTAAACAGAGAAATTTGAACTTTAATTAGAATATTTCGTCAAAGTTACTAAGAATTTGAGTTAGAAAAAAGTCACATCAAATAAAACAATGATACTTATAACTATTTATTATTATTCATAAAAATCACAATGACAACAATAAAAATTAAATTTAAGATTGTATATTATTTTATATTTTTACTGTTAAATCGACTTTAATAGTAATGATGTATATCATTTGAATCGACTTTAATAATAGTGATGTATATCATTTGAATCGACTTTAATAATAGTGATGTATATAGTTTGAATTTGATAAGAATATTTTTCTATTATTTACTAAATGATTCTATGCAAGGAATATATGGTTAACGAATTCATATAGATGAAACTAATTTTTAGTAATTGTGCTAACAAATAAAAAATCCCCTAATTTACAATTTTTATTTTTCAAAAAAAAAAATATCAACACCTCCTTCACAGTGATGCATAAATATCCATTATTTCAGATACCCAACTTGTCCAAAGCCTCCGATAACATATGAACTGAAATCATTTTAGTTAAGATGTTTTTTTAAATGATTCTTTCAATCCTATGTAATTTCAGTAAATAATATCATCTCATCCAATTTTTTCTTGATAAAGAATTTATATATTTCAATATACTTGATACAATCATGTCGAACTAGGCTATGAATTATATTAGCTGCAGCCTTATTATTAAAATATAGTGGAATTTGGTTGCTAATAACCCATGATGGGAGAAAAAGACTTGGCATAATATTTGCCGGTACAATCTTAAGTGTTAACCATAACAACTTTAATATCTCAAAAAACATAATTGTATCATATATATATTTTCCTCTCATGCATTATGCATGAATTGACTCGCAACACCTAGGACATAAGGTATGGCCTTGTGCATACTAGGTACATTAATTTTCTTAGAAGTCTATGGTATAGCCTTTTATCAATTATAGCTTGATTAGATTCAACAAACAACCACAATTCTTCTTGATCATGTGTATTTGGTAGATGATATGACATATTGGTTTTCCTCTATCAAATGTAAAGCATATTTTCTTTGGGACAGCTTTATTAAATATTTACTTAAATTTTTATCATATATAAGAATGTGTATATTATAAATTTAATTATATGTTGTAAGCTTTTATTTAATTAAATATTTATATAATAAACTTATTCAAATTTTATTTTGATAAATTTCACCAAATAATTTATAAAAATAAAGTGCAAGTAACTTATACAAATTATAAACTATTTTCATGAATTCAAACAGATTTCATAAAAAATATATATATATATATATAAAAATCCTTCAAAAGGCAAATAAAAGAATAATGAACATTATTAGTTAGGACAGGCACACAATTGAACATGACCCGGGGAGTGGTTAATTGTGAATTGAAATATAAAATAACTTAATAATTAATTCCAAATTAATTATATTTAAATATAATCGAAGTAAGACGTATAAAATTCTCTTTCTACAAGTGGTATATATATTAGATAGAGTCAGACTATACAATAATTAATAGGGTACCCACCCTAGAATTGGATTACTTCTTTTAACTCTATTCACATGACAATATACATTTGTACATCATTGTATATGGTATATAATAACCTAACCAATCATACGGCTACACTAACGTTTGATTCCATACTAAAGGATGATGCGGTGTTCATTAAGAAAAAAAGGATAATGACAAATTGATATTGATAAATGTAATATTAATCCCACTAGTCTCATCATGAACATGACTAAAAATTAAAGTCCTCTTGCATTGTTCGTCCTCTTATAGATTTTTTTAATCTTATGTAAACCAAGTCAGAAATTATAACCTGGTTTTCAACTCTACCCAAACAAACGCTTTTACATGTGAAATTTAGCGTAGAAAAAGATCGGTATGAATAGGATATATAGATAATCATACGTTGATTGATTATATAAATTCAAATTTACATATATAATATTTTTATAATTATATATCAATTTAAATTAATAAAATAAAGTATTAAATAATTTTTAAATTTAAAAAAATTTAAAAATTTAATCTATGTATTAAAAAAATTAATTTATTAATTAAATCATTAAAATTTAACGTAAAAGATGATTTATTAAATGTGGTAAATCTATCAAAACTTAATCTTGAAATAAATAAATTCTTTCTCATTCACACACGTATACATAGGTCTCTATCACATCGTTTAATAACTTTATATGTTGTTTTGACAAAAAGTTCATTAATATTGTTAGGGTCATTACGTCCAAAATATCTTTTAGATATATTGAAACAAATCTCTCAGTCATGTGAAACTTTTAGTCATACTGAAAGAGACTAAGAGACAAGAATCATTAGGGGTCATCGCGGTTGTACAAGATCTGATGTGTAATTTGACTTTTTAACAAGTTAAAAAAACAATTTATTAAATATGATGTTTATAGTTAAAGAAAAATCAATAAATAAAAAAATACATCAATCAAACACTTTGGTATGAATTGACTAATTAGCAATGATTTAATACCCTGATTGAACCGGCCGGTTAGATCGGTTGGATCGGGAACTGGTGGTCCAGTCGGTCTGAATCTTAAATTGGATCGGTTATGCAGTCGACCCGTTTCAAATCGGATTGAACCGGTTAATTTTCCGGTTCAACCGGTAAACCGTGGGTCAAATCGGTTCAACTACTTTTTTTTCTTTTTTTAAAATTTTTTTTAGGGGACCATAAACCACAAAAATAATAATGAAAATTGAATCTTTTAATGGAAGAGCAAAGAGTCTTATTAAATATAACAATGACTACTTGTTCTAATATATTTGTTTGTAATATATACAACTTAAATAACTTTTATAGTATATTATTAATTTTAAATTATATATTTAATAATATAATATCTATGTAGATATTACATATATTATTTTGTGATATCAATTGCAAGCATATTATATATGTAGACATTATTTATATTTTTAAGTTGTATTAATATACAATTTAACATGTAATTTTTTATGTATTTTTTTACAAAATAAAAAAAAATTCAATAAGATAGAAAAATTAAAATTTAAAATAAGATATTAATTTATTAAAATTTATAAGTATAAAATATATTTAATATGAATATTTTTTAATAAAAATTGAGTCATGTGGTTCAACTAATGATTCACTGGTTCAACTTTTAATCCACTAATCCAGTATATTAACCAATTCGATGACCGGTCCGATTTTTAAAACTATGCTAATTAGAGTATAATGTATGTGCAGCCAGGAATAAAAAGTCTACGGATTTAGGTGGAAGCTCAACTGAAAGTTTGAGAAAAATCCGTAATAAATTATCATGTCAAGTTAACACGTGGTTCTAAGTTCTAACCAGGCAGATGCTACCCATACAACTAAAGAAATTTAGCTGTCAATGTTAACAATTAGATTATATATTGAGACAAACAAAGACCGACAAAAGTAGGTTGATTGAATTCATTCCGGAAGCCTTTTGCGTTGCTTAGGGTTTCAATTTGGCCTCCAGTTCGATATATGGTCCCTTCAAAATAATGATTTTCATTTAGTACGTAACTTGGATTGATAAAATTCATGTCAAAAAAATATACTGTATTTAATTTGACTCAATTTCAAGTTTAAGATGTCTGATTGTAAGTCCGGAAATAGAGATTAACTGTTATATATTAATTTGATTCTACATATTAAACTTCTTTCCTTTCCTAACTTTCTTGAGAGTGTGAAGATTCACAATTGAGTAGGATTGGTGATTCAAAGTTCGAAAAGTTGAGAATTAATGTTGGTGTGGAACTAGTTTAGAGCTCATTTCTTTCTTCTTCTTCTTCCTTGTTTTTTTTCGATTCGGAGGTAAGGGAAGTTAGAACTAGAATTTTGTAAATTGTTGAAGTTGTATGAGCTTGACTTTATCTAAATTTGTGGCTATGTTAATGATTTTGGAGTGAAATTCATGTTTTGGTGAGATTTGAGTGTTTTGAAGCATCTATGGGCTGATTTTGATGATTTTAGCAAATTGGTGGTTGGATGTTGTTAGTTTGATGAGAAACAAGTTATGTAGGGTGATTAGATGTATAATGTTGTGTTGCATGCTTAAAATCTTCTGGATCAAGTGGATTGAGCGATTTTGCAATTCTGTCAAGAGTAGATTTCACCATCGCGACAAACACAACTTCAAGGTGTCAAGTGTGACATGGGTCAAAGACTCTCTACCTCATTGACGTTGGGCGCAAGATCGATAGCGTCAAACATGAGTTAGAGAATAACTTTTTGACTTGGTCACATTGAGCATGGGTTGAATGGCGTCAAGTGCGGATGTCTTTGGAGCATGGGTTGAATGGAACTCTTTGACTTGGTCACATTGAGAATGAGTTGTGGATGATGTGAATATGTGATATCTTGTGTTGGTGATTAAATGAATATAAAATCATCTCATACTGTTAATACATATAATACTTATTATAATATGATTGCACATTGAAATGAGTTTCTTTATTATTTTTTATACAAAAATATCAATATTGAATTAAAAAACACAAGCTTTCAATTGATGATAATGGAGCGAGGTGGCACGGTTGTAATCTTTTCATTATTTTGTTACATGTTAAAAGAAAATTCATTTTATAACTACTTCACATTAGTACGGCTATATGCAGATATTTATAAGCATGTATCTTCATTTATTAAAATATAAATTTGTAAATATAAACAAAAATAAATTACGAGTAAATAGTTATGAAACATATATTTTCACTGAAATATATAATTTTAAAACATATTTTGACTATAAACAATTTGTTTTTAAATATATGTATTTTAAAAATAAATTAAAGCAATGTGCTTTACATATATATATATAAGTATTT